CCATCAGTATTCAAGGCACGGGAGGAATAGTAAATCTTGTGATACTGGGTATTATTTCCACTTCCACACTAGGCCATACAGACTGAATCCACATGGGAAGCCCTCTTTCAAATGAATCTTAGCCCTCTCTTAACACACAGACCACGATGGCTGCACAATTGAGTTCTGAACAATCTGCAGACTGTTTTGGGAACCAGCATTACGTTTTTAGCACTGCAGCTAAAATATCTATTCAGGGCATTCAAGCATGACAAGCACTCTCCTGTTTTCAATCTCCACTCCTCCAGTTATCTCTGACTATTTATTAATTCTTTCACAGGTTATGAAAATAATAAATCATTAACCAGGAATTTTAATTTTTAATACATACTTGTATATGGTAAGCAGTCAAATTCCTTTTCGTAATCAGTGAAGCACATGCTGCGCAGTAGATTATATTCTGATGCTTTTCCTATTAAAAACTGCATCTTAAATCACACCACAATATGGTCTCTTGCAGGACTCGGTACTTAAGAATATTGTGATTTGTGTCTTACAATCCTCATCTAATGATTGCATAATTTTTGTGTTCTCATCCTTTACGGTCTTTAAATCCTTCCCCTTTACTAAGGCTCATTTTTAATGTGTCGCGTATGACAAGTCACCGAACACACACTGAATTCTTCTACTATAAATTAATTGCTGAAAAGAGTGGGGAACAAATAAAGCATTATTAGTGCATGCTGGGAGGCATCTAACACAAATCTGTGGCATTCCCTGCTACTGCTCCACAACAAATTCAAGACAAGGTGAAGTGCTCTTTAATATTTCATTCTCAAGTTTGAGGTGTGTTCTCTGGCTGCTCAATTTCCTCCACTTGATTTTACGGCAGAAAACGAAACTACATTCCCACCAGCTGTTCCCAAGTCAGAGCCTGTGTCTCTCCTTTCCTTCTTCTGAAGGATTTATCTTTCATACACCACCCACACAGGACTGGGCAACAGTTGCAGGCACAAAGTTTTGAGGCTCTTCAGATCCGAATCTGAGACTGCAAATCTGGGAATGTATTTTGGCTCAGGATGATCAATATTCAAGACCCAGACTTCTTCCTCTCATTATGGAGGAGGAAACACACAGCGTAGGGAGAAGCTCTGTGGCTATGGTATAAAACTGATAAAGATGCATTAATTACCAAATACTGTACCCTGCAGAAATTTTCATCCTCATCATGAGGCTAATGGGCTAATGCTGTAGCACACAGACTTTGCTGTTTGGATCATAAGACAATGCTGTTTTCTTGTTGGATTTTGGGACAATTTTCTTTGTGTTCTTTGTTAGAATGCCAATATCGATTCAGTGATATTCTCTTTATATTGGACAACAGGAATCACTCTGCCATCCCTCCCACCAAAGAGAAAGAAAAATTACTTGATCTATTTATAAGTTTCCTATAAGAAAGCTTCCTTATGTCATGGTTAAATGATTCATAATAAGGTAAATACTACGTTGTTATTATTAATTGAAGTTTTGAAGTAAATTTCAATAAGAAGCAGGAGCCTGCACAAAGAGAGTAAAATGACCTTCTGAGCAATGTAACAGAGGATATGTATATTTTTCTTATTGCATTATTATTATTTTACCAAAGAAAGCTTATAAACTAGCAGAGATTGGGTATTCTGTTTAAGTGGATATATAATCTCTCCATTGTTCCTCGTGCTAGCATGTTAACTTTTTATAGTAGGTAGGCTTTTAAAAAAGCCAGAGAAATATTTCCTGTCATCCAGTACTCATGCTTTAAATGCAAATTATTTGTCAAAAAAGTATATATGTCATGATTTAATTTTTTTTTTTAATAAAATTAACTACCAGATGTGATTCAGTCACCCACCTGTACAGTCCTCCAGCTGGTCAGTTATGTTCACCCCACTGAATCTGGAACAGTTCTCCCAGGCTGCCAAAGTGACAGCTTTAGTGGGTCAGCAAGTAGTGGAGTCTCCCAGGCAGCGATGGGAGACATGCGGGAAAGCCCTCCGAGGTCTCCTCTCCCCCACCACTCCTACACTGCACACAGCCACCAGCCCCCATGAGACATTCGGCAAGGCCACCACCATATCTCTCCCCCTTCCCATGTTCCCCACATCCTGTGACTCACAGAGGAGGGAGAAAGGATTTGGCAAGTAGCTGGGCGCTGGGGCTTGTTCCAAATGATCCCAGTTGCTACTGGGATCGGGTGTTGGTCATGGCGTTGAATGCCTTATTCCTCTTAGAGATTTACTGGGTGAAGCGACACTCAGGACTCTGTGTCATCATCCAGCAAAGGCCCTGAGAGATGTAAAAGCAGCAAAGATGTCACCTATGTGCCACTCCACAGTAAAAAGTATTGCACTGTGCCTTCCCCCATGCAGCCACAGGTAGTAATCCCAACTGGAAAATGACTTGAAAATGAGAATGTGTGAAATCTCCACATTTAACTGTACTGTTCTGCTGGTTTTGTCTGGGATGGTGTTAATTTTCTTCACAGCAGCTAGTATGGGGCTACGTTTTGGGTTTGTGATGA